GCTGAACCGGTTTTTGTGTGTAATATTTTGTTCCTTTTCTTCCTCAATCTCTCCTCCATCTGGAAAATGCAATTATCTCCACTAAGTAACAGAAAAACCCAATGTTTAATATATCATATATGAATACCCATTCACATATATGTATGAATAAACACATAAAAAGTTAAAAACATGACAGTGAACATAAACTTCTGCAGTTTAAAATTTCAATTACCTCAAAATACCAAAAATATGAAACATTCATGAAAAACTAACACTTAAATAGTATAAAATAATTATCCCGAAAGAAACCCGAGAATTCACAACATTTATCAAGTTGTTGCAGATTTTCAGGAGGTGGTTGCAAATTTTCAGGAGACTCCAGCATCTATAAATACAAAAAAATGAAGATGAAACAAAGTCCACCAAATCAATCCAACATTCAACACAGCTTAGTGCATAGCCTGGTGCTATTTAGCCTTAGTTTAACCTTAGTTCGACTTAGGAGTAGACTTGAAAGGCATCTTTGCCATAGATTTTAGCATTAGATCATGACATCCGTGTCAAATTAGTTGTTTTTGGCCTTCATAGGCATTGTTTTGAGACTTAAATTGTGTTTCAATCTCATTTTGTAGCTCAAGTTCATGTTTTCAAACTTATTTTTTATACTTTTATTTGTTCGATCCAATGAATTTATGAAAGTATATTTTTTGGTGTTTATTTCCATCTATTTACCTCTCTTTTCGACATTAAAAACTCTATGGAGATTTTTTTAAGTCCTCTTAATTGAGGCAAAACAAGAACTAGGAAGTCTTGTATCCCTTTGAGACTCACACAACCTCTTGTTTTTTAGAAGTCAGATTTTTTCCAAGTACATTTTCCATCAACTTAGGCACTGTTGCTTGGCATGCCCGCAAATCACGCAAAACCTCCTGTTTAGCCAAAGCTTGTGTGTTAGTCAAAAAGTATATTTTTGTATTTTTTTTTGCACAAACACACTTAGATAGCAAAAAATAATTATCCCAAAATTCATTAAGAAACCCTAGAATTCACCAAAATTTTCAAATAATTCAGCATTAATTTAGTTTACATTGGACGGCACTTTTTCAGGATCATCAAGACAACTCCCAAGAATTTCAGCAAATACACGGTTCCAAAGGTTAAGGTGGCAAGGTCAATAGAAAAGTTGATGCGGGATTTTCTTTGGGAAGGTAAGGATGAGGGGAAAAAGGATCATTTAGTGAATTGGGAGGTGGTGTCGTTACCTAAGGAGAATGGGGGTTTGGCTATCGGTAACATTGTGGCAAGGAACTTGGCCTTTCTTGGCAAGTGGTTATGGAGATTTCCACTTGAGATTGATTCAGTATGGCATTCGGTTATAAGAAGCAAATACGAGATTCAAGACAATGATAGGGATTCACGAGTGGTTTCAAGGGGTAGCTGCCGTGCTCCTTGGAAGTCAATCTCTCAACTTTTCACGTGTTGGTCTCGACATCTTTCTGTAAGGGTGGGCAATGGGGAAATTGTTCGGTTTTGGGAGGATGGTTGGATGGGTCAATCTTCTTTTACTGCGGATTTCCCGCATCTTTATCAAGTGGCTCGTTCACATAATTCTTCAATTGCTTCCATGGCTTGCTTTCTCTTAGCTCCAATTGCTTAGAATTTTGATTTTTCTAGAAATCTTAATGATAGGGAGGCTTCACAGTTGGTTTCTTTATTATCTAGAATTGATCACTTTTCTTTATCTCCTCTTTTGGAGGACAAGAAGGTTTGGGCACTTCATTCATCCGGAATATTTTCTTGTAAGTCTTTTTTTTATTACATCATCGATAATCCTCAAGTTCCTCAATTTCTTTTTTGCAAAAATGTTTAGAAGGCTTGTGCTCCCTTAAAAGTAAAGGTGTTCATGTGGGCCTTGGTTCATGGAGGAATTTTGACAAATGATACATTGCAGAAAAGAAGACCCAAACGTTTTTTAAATCCTCAGTGGTGCATTCTATGTTGTAAGAGCGGGAAATCCGTGGATCATTTATTCTTGCATTATCCAATAGCTTTGAATTTATGGCATAGATTGTTTAGTGTTGGAAATGTTATGTGGGTGGCCCCAAAAAGGAGTGCGAATATCCTCTTAGTTGATTTTCGCACATTTGGAGGATCGAAGAGAGCCAAAATTCTATGGACTTGTGCCGTCTTTGCAACTTTTTGGGTGCTATGGTGGGAGCGAAATCAAAGGTTGTTTGAAGATAAGTTCCGGGAGGTGGGCTGTTTATGGGATCATGTTTGTCACTTACCTTTTTTTTGGGCATCGGAGAACTCTTTATTTAAGGGAGTCCCACTCTTTTTGTTAGCTAGAGATTGGTTGGCGGTGTGTGCTTTGTAAGCTTTTGCTTGTTTTTTTAGTTGGTTAGGGGTTTTTCTGTTCGTATTTTCTTTGTCTTGTGTTTAGAGGATGCCTCATCCTCTCTTTCTTTTTTAGATCTATCAATAAAGTTTTTGTTGTTGATCAAAAAAAAAAAAAAAAAGATTAACACTTAAATAGCATAAAATAATTACCCCAGAATTCATAAAGAACCTCAATAATTCACATTTTTCAAATAATTCAGCATTAATTTAGCTTACTTTGGACCGTGCTTTTTCAGGATCATCAAGACAACTCCCAAGAATTTCAGCAAACTCAGGGTCCCTATCATAATCCTTCTCTCCTTCTCTCCTCCGGAACCGACCCCGCGGCGAAAACTCATCCTCACCTTCAAAATCTCCATCATAATCACCACTCTCTTCTTCAATTTCTGTCTCCAAATTCTGGGCTTTGATACTTCGATTCCTACTTGCTCTGGCTGTGCATAGACTTATCTTGGGTTGAAAACAGTTTTGGATTGAAATTGCATAGGTTGGAAATGGAGGGTGGCGGTTGGATTGGCGGGAAAATGTGTAGTGTGAAAGATGAGGTAGTTGAAGAAGGGGTGCGCAGGGGTGTAGGGTAAACATGTTGGGTTAGAGAGGATTGAGGGTTTGGGGATGAATGGCGTGCGTTAGCAACAGGAAGACAGTTGGGTTTCACAAATATACTACCGAAGGCTTTTGTTTTCTGGAGGGTTGAAGTATTACTCTCCTAGGATTGTTGTGTGTTTGGCTAGAGGGAAGAAAAGAGAAGGGAGCAGAGAAAATATGTGACAGAATGCAAATTTTGAGAAGAGGGGAGGGAGGAGGTGGCAAATGTAGTGTAACTTATAAAGGGGAGCTCTATGCTGATGTTATAAAAGAAAGATAATTATCAACACATGAGAATGTGTAAATATAATTATAATAAATTATTTATAATATTTAATGGTTTGGTAATGGAATCCGAGTAATAAAAAGGCGGGGTGTTACATAATATCACTTAAGATGTAAATTTTAATGTAAAATTTTATATAAAATTTATGATAAAAATGATGTAGTAATGATATTTTTTAAAAAAATAATGGGTAAATTACAAATACACCCCTTGAGGTTTACTTAAATTATAAATTACTCCTTGTGGTTTTAGAAATTACATTATGCCCCTTAGGGTTTCTAATTTCATAACAAATATGTCATTTTATTAATAAATCATCAAGTTAATTAACAGTTTTTAATAATTTTAAAATTTTATTTCAATTAATAATTCAAATAATTTTATTATTATATAGGTGAACAGTTCGAAATTTTACTTTTTCAATTAATTCTTGTTAAATAAAAATTTTGACACAAGAGCCAATTTGTATTTTAAACAAACCTCATGGGGTGTATTTGCAATTTACCCTTTAAATTATGATGATAATAATGGTTGTTTGGATTGAAAATAAAGAGATTACGATAATTCATATTGTTATTATGAAAATTTCAATATAATGGTGATGTCTATTATTATTGACATGCAAATATAATTAATCTCAATAAAGATATGAAATTTATTGGATTGTTAGTTACATTTTGATATGTAGAGTTCATCCTCCATGTGTTTCTTTACTATTGGTTAGTGATATCACATGCCGGTGATGACGTAGTATTACTATTATATTGAATTTTTATTCATATTTTGTATAAAAAATTACTTAATTATTATATAATTTATTTTAAAACTTATATCGATGACCTTTTTCTTTTATATTGTCTATGATACACTAGTTACAAATAATATTATTTATTTTTTTATCTTTCTTAAAGTCAATCGTAAATATTTATGTGAAATATTTTTGTAAAAATTTTTAATGTTGTAATTAATAAGTGCCACCTCAAATTTAATTTCTTGGTTCCGCCATTGGTTATAAGTTAAATATATGAAATAAGATTTAAAACAACTAAAAAATGCCCTAAAGGCTTACAACTTTCCAAGACAATGCTTGGTTACAACTTTCCAAGACAATACTTGGTTACAAGAAAAGTGAGAGTAAACTCAATACAAATAAAGCATTAGGCTTGTACAAAATAAATACAACAAATAAACAAAATGAAATTCTTACTCCAAATCCTCCCAAACTATTGCCTTGGCGGAGGCATATTATCAGCACCTGAAAATGATTTTTCCACATAGGGTGAGCCAAAACCCAGTAAATATACTCTAACACGGTGTATGAATCTTAATAGAGTTCTAAGGTGAATGCATATGCAATGCACGTGCCAAAACATTTTATATCTCTTTTCAAAATCATGCAATGCCAAGTTTATATCACAATTCATGCAATCAATTCATTTTCAAGAGAAAACAGGGTAGTAGATACAAAACTGGAAATCTCTAGGACGAATCTGCAAGTAGGCTACAAGCACTACCAATTTGTCATTTTTATCGGTATTAACCGGTAGGCTCAACACCTATTAAAATAGTAACTTTCCAAACACTCACTAAGTTGAGAGAGAGAAAGAGAGCTCTGTTTTAGAGAGAAGAACAACAACAATACTATAAACTCCTAAAAAATACAACCCCACAACCCCAAAAAATATTAATTTCTGAAAATTGGATGAAGAATATTTTTAACTTCAATTTTTACTTTTAAATTATCGAGACAACTCCCAAGAATTTCAGCAAATTCAGGGTCCCAAAAATTAACACTTACATAGCATAATATGATTATCCCAAAATTCATAAAGAAACCTGAGAATTCATAACACTTTTAAAAGAATTGAGCAATATTTAGCTTACTTTGGACTACACTTTTTCAGGGCCATCAAAACAACTCCCAAGAATTTCAACAAATTCATGGTCCCAAAAATTAACACTTTGTTTGTACTGAAAATGACCGGCTGTAGAGGGTCATAAATTGAACTCCAAACTAAATATGGACTCAAACACTAAGATTGCCCTGAGAAGGTGACCAGGGATAAGAGAGGAGCGTGGACCAAAGCTCAAGGGAAGTGGGCCAACAAGTGGGCCGAGGCAGGTCCGACCCACCAAGGCTCCAGATGGACTCAGTGAGGAAAAATGCTCAAGTCAAGTTACAGAGGCAACACCTGTCACGCCCCAAACTTGCCTCTAAAAGTTTGGGCATGACCTATTCTGAACCGGACACTTAACCTGCTATATAAAATATATGGGGCCTGAACGGAAGCCTTTAATCGATATAACTAAATAAAAGAACTACATCCATTGAGTGACCACTTTCATGCCAGGATCACAACAGAACATAAGTCAAATAAACATACAGTGACGAGCCTCAGAGAATTCAGTTATGTACATATATACATATAGACCCAGCCCTCAAGCTTAGGCGTAAAACGAAACATTAAGGGGTAAAGGAATTAAGTGCACTTAAAATTTAGTAAAACTTCATAAAATGAGCTGTCTTCATAACAATGCCTGGACCCTCTGAGGTTGACAAAAGAGGAATAGATGCCATGGGTTAAGATTGACCTCCAAATGGAGTGCCTACAGAAACAAACATAACACAAGGCGAGTCAAGCTCAGTGAATAGTAGTACGTAAACAATTTAATGATTAACTTGAATTATAATGTACATACATAAGTGCAGAGAACACATAGTTAACTTAATCTTGTAATTATTTCCAGAATGGTCTTAGGCTTAAACTTTAAACATAATGGCTTGAAACATAACATCTTGAAGCATAATGGCTATAAGCCCTTGAATAGAGTGGCATAAAGCCCTTGAACATTGTGGCGCGAAGCCCTTAAACATAGTGGCATCAAGCCCTTAGACAATTTGGCATTAAGCCCTTGTACATACTTGTATGAATTCAAGAGGTGTCTTACGCGGATTCTAGAGGTAACTCACATCGTAGCACTTAGTTCCACGTAGCACTTTATTTCTTATCATAACAACTTATACGAAATGGCCATAGGCCTTATAACTTTCACATATGTATGGATTCAAGAGGTGACTCATACAAATTCTAGAGGTGGCTCGCCTTGCAGCACTTAGTTTCGTACAACACTTTGTTCCATATTACAAACACAGAATGGCCTCTGGCCCAGATTGGCTTTATGCCTAGTTCATATATGTATGGACTCAAGAGGTGGCTCGCACGGATTCTAGAGATGACTCGCATTGCAACACTTAGTTCCATACAACACTTTGTTCCATACCGAAATAGGTCTTGAAAACCGAACAATTCATATCATGTCAGAGCAGAACATAAATAGAACGGATAAACAGAAACAAGGTCATACATGTTCTTAATTATGCTTGAATCATAACATAAATCAGAATTCATGTTTGACTATACATGGTACATTCAATAGCGCTAATAAATCAGTATAGAGCATACCTTTTAGTTCCGTAAAGGGACTTCCAGTAATACTTGAACCACGGTATTATTACCCCCGGGTAAGGGCCTTGTGCTAAAGATGTCTTGAATACTTTGATATATAAGGATAGTCATTTACTGGTTCAAAACATAACATATCAGAAAATAAAGCATTTCTTGTTATATCGTTATCATCGTCATCACAGTACGCTTAACAGAGATAGAGCAATATACTTTCTAACGTGGTTTACATAATGATGATAAACCTTTACATTCATGTCGTAGATGCTAAACGACTTCAGGTCTCTTAGTAGCAAAATAGTATGCTCTCATATTCATACCGTAAGGTGAATCAATATCATTGATACTCAATTCTTGACATTTAAGGCAACCTATGGTTCTATCCGATTTTCATTTCGTTCCTTTCTAAGCAAATGTCTATGTCCTGAAACATGTGTCGAACCAAATAAGATTATAAGAGTCCCTGATAGGAAGGTCAAATATCATATCTCCATTAAGCGGAGTTTATAGTCATAATTTCTTCCCGTTAACTACTTGCATAGTATTAATACTTCTTGTGCAGAGTCTTAGGTAATTTACAGGCTATAGCACATTAATAATAACCATTAACCATAATCAGAATGCAGAGGAGTTCCGGAGTCATACCGAGGTACACATAATCTTTCAATGTTCTCACCGATCTTCAAACAACGTAAATCTTAACGTAATTGCTTATGTAAAACAGAACGTTAAGAATAGAACGGTTAACGGTAAGTAAACGTACGATTACAGTACTACTACTCACAATGTTGTGGCGGAGCGCTACTTCCCCTTGAAGCATGTCCTACACATACAAAGTTCACAATTAACTTCCTTTTTTCCTTGTCAAATTACTTCCTGATTCATTACGTTTTGAATGAATTTACAGCCATCTTAGGATCATCAGAAAAATATTTTAAAAATATCAGAGGGTCGAGCACGCGAAACGGAGCCGAACATTTTTTTCAGCTTGGGTCGCACGTGCGGCTGTGAGCCCCGCACGTGCGGCAGTGCTTCCCGTACGTGTGGCAGTGAGCCCCGCACGTGCGGCGATCTGGACAGATTGTAGTTCGAAATTTCAGCAAAACTCAATTTTTGGTAAGTATTCTTGAGGCTCAAAATAGATCTTTTAATTGATGAAATATGGTTCAAAAATCATAGACATAAACATTACAAACATATATCAATCCCAATATAAACATTACATAGCTTATCTTGACAACATCTCCAATCAACCAAGTGACAAGAGCATTCCTTAATTCAACACTTGGTACACACACAACTTTAATTACAACCCCAAATCTTACAAGTGAAAGGGGATTTCTTACTCAAAGTTAAGAAAAGACTTAATTAAAACAAAATTCACATACCTTGAGCCTTAAACCCTACAACCCCTCTCAATTCCCCAATCTTTCCTCTTGATGAGTTTCTTCCTTTCAAACCCTTTCTTTCTTTCTC